TGTTTGGTAAGAACTGGAGTGATCCAAATCAATCTAGGAGTCGACCACTGATGACATAATAATAGAAGATGGCCAAGTGTTTCCACAGCTCCAGTCTCACAGTTACATAAGCGATCCGAGTATGGGACTTTAGAAAAGTGACCTGTTAACTCAGCAGTGGGAAGAGAGTTAAGCCTAGCAAGAGTGAAAACTCATCTATAACTAGGTATTTTTAGGGATCTAATATATGGAGGAAGAGATTCCGGAGTAGGAACACCCAAGGTAAGAGTGGAACATACACATCTTGCTCAAGCTAAAGTACTAGCCCGATCAAGATTAATCACCTTTATTCTGGTCTGCTTTAGGGCTTCCTGATAAGTTAAATTATTCCATACTGTTGGAGGAAAGCCCAATAACTCAAGTCTAGCATCTAGATACCTTTCCCAGCTACTTTTGTGGTTGTCCTCCTTTATCAAACATAGAAGGCCACCTTGGGCATTTAGTGCTGAGTAAAGAGCTTTGAGTCTCAGTTTGAAAGCTGCGATCCAGGTTCTAGACTCCAAGGAATATTGGGCAAATTCCACTCTAAGTGCAGTACCAGCCACACATCTAGGAACCCCAGCCATTCTACTCAAAAAAATAGAGAAGTGTACGATCGAGAGATTCAGAAACTGCATTAATCCAAATAGCGACCCCGAATAAAATCTGAAAAGTTACTTTAGCACTGAAAGCTGCTATGGCCATCGGTACATACTGACCCCCCCTTGAAAAGAAATATCTAAGGATAGCGTTTGAGTTTGTTCTAGCAATCTCAGATGCTGCGCTAATATGAGGCTTCCAAGACAGATTGTGACTAAATGTCACTCCCAAATATTTAAATTGGGTTACCTGTTCATACAGATAAATTCTGCATTTTCACAGTGCTGCATTTGTGAGCAGAATGGAGTCTGAAATATATTCTTTGGGAATATTTGTTACTTTTACAGCTCTTGATTTGGTTCCTTATTAATTTAACATTTAGGTAAAGGTAAAGGTTTCCCTTGCTCGAAAGCCAGTCGAATCTGACTCTAGGGATGCAGTGCTCATCTCCATTTCCAAGCCAAAGAGCCAGCACTGTCCGAAGACATTTTTGTGGTCATGTGGCTGGGATGACTAGACGCCAAGGCTGGGATGACTAGACGCCAACACTGTTACTATACTTTAAATGTGGGTGTTTGTGTATATGTATAAATATAGGCACACAGATAGATTTGTCTAAGAAAAGTCATTCACATAGCCATTCAGATGCAAATGCAGGACAACAATAACCAGTTATCAAGCTTTCCACATCCCCCCAGATGTTACGCAAAAAAAACCCAAACAAAAAATCCCTCCTCATGTATCTCAAACATAATTCATCTGCAGATCCAAGCAGGGGGTGAGACTCAACTTTAGTTTATCTCATTACAGCCTGCAGAATTTTGTTTGTTTTAGCAAACAAATTCTGTAAGATGAATCCTGTATAAATAAATATTTTAGTTGCTTACAAGAGGCCATTTCCTCAGGAAGTCTGAAAGCATCACTTCATTTGGCTGTGCCGGAATATTGTCTTTCCTACAATTCTGGCAATCTAGATGTCAGGGAGATAGACACAGGGTTAAAGCTACAGCAACAGAACACAATCAAGTGACATAACTTGGCAGCAATTTTGAGACCATGCACAAGTTTTTTAATCAGCAGAGATAAATATTTAAAACATGATGTTGAGAAAAACCACATAAAATGAGACTGTGGTTGACTGCTGCTACAGATCATTCCCCTTACACAGCTTTCATCAAACAGACGAAGTAATTGCATTCTGTGGTCCGTAAGTGTGAGTTCAACTGTCACATTACTGTTTAGTGTTACATCCAATCATATGTTTCTCATCAGTTTGCTCTGCACTGGCCTTCACTTGTTATGTTTACTAAAGTATTAAAGACTGAAAATGTCAACATTTCACAATGAAAATATAAAATGTATGTCATAAATTTAAATAAAATTTAAATCATAGGCTAAAAGTCCTCAAATCTTCAACTAGTGGGTCATGACCCTCATTTGAGTCATGGCAGAACATAAGGTGGGTCACATCAGCATCAACACAATTTCCCTCCTTCATTCTTAAGGCTCTTTAGTAGGCAGAAAAACAGAAGGAGAGAAAGAAAAGAAAAATTCAAATGGAAAGGAGGGGGGAAGGAATGAGTGTTACAAATAGACAAAAAATTGGTTGCATATTGCCAGTTGGAGTAAAAGGTGGATTCCATGTCTGAAAAGGTTGAAACATACTGCTCTGACTTTGCTTCTTTCTGCAGGTAACTCTTTTCATAACCACCCAACAATGGATTGATTAGCACTATAAACTTCTATAAAGCTCTATTCTCAACACAGGGATGAGATGAGCTATTGTTTTGCCACAATATTCACAAGTGTCGAATTGGATCCCACCCCATGAATTTACATTGGCAGTCCTTGGCAATGATTTTAGCAGTTGGGGACTGCTTGTGTTCCTCTTTGGACATGCTTGAAATTACAGGAAGAGAAGCTTTGCTATGCTGCTACTAAAGGACCATGGAATATGACCAGGTTCAAAGGCAGTCTACTGAAAAATGAAGACAAAGGTCTTCAGCTGAGGCATACAGTTAAGTTTACAGGCAATGAGAGACGTGTTAAATACCGTAGTTTCAAATAGTAAAGAGGCGGGGGGAGAAGGGAGGGAGGGAGAGAGGGAAAGCAAATGAAATATGCAAATAAACTGTTTCACAATTACGGACATGCAGTTTACTGGACATAAACATATTGGGAATCGATTATCAGTCTTTGCTTCTCAGAGTGCACATGCTGAAAGTACATGGTGTAAAATATATACATATGCAGGTTTCACATGTGAAAGTTTTTGTATTTTTCCTGTCTCTAAGCTTCTGGGTAGAGGGAAGTCAGCCAGATATAGCCGATGGCTGTCCTTGGAAATACATTCCCAAAACACTCTGAGAATAAACCAGTGATCATGCAAATTCATAGGGAAGCTGATAACTTTACTCAGAAGAGCTCAAGGTCATTAAAGCTCTCCATTATTTGTTCACATTCTTACATAACTGATTATTATTTAGCTACAAATACACAAAGAGCTGAAGGTCTCTAATACTTACTGTTGGTCTCTGGTGAAGTTTAAAGAAGATGCTTCTTATTAAGAAGTACAAAATCAAAATAGGACCCACGGTAAGTAGGAAATACCAAAAATCAGGAAATACCACGCTACAGACAATTACAAAGTATCTCAAGTAATTCCCCCCCCATTTTTATATATCATTTTTCTATATTTCTTACAAATTATTCACAATTCTATTAATTATCATAGAAACATTAATACATAGAAAGAATAATATATCCAAACATCTAAGTATGTCTCTTTATATATCACAAAAGATATTGCACAACCCCTTTATTAATATCAGTCCTCCTTAATTGTACAACAGTTTTAAGAGAGAGGACTCCTTTAAGTCTATTTTGAATTAGTGCTCAGTCTTCCCCCAACAGAGGTCCAGATATCCTCCTGTTTCAGTGTCTTCCTCAGGGAGTTCGATATTTCCAAGCACAAGGTTTCCAAATACCAAAATATTTATCCAAATTTCACCAACGAATGCTGCAAAAAGTCTCTCTTAATGAGCTCAAGGCTTCCTTGTTGAACTCAAGACAACCTTGTTGATAATTAATATAATTGTGAATAATTTGTAAGAAATATAGAAAACATAATATATAAAACCAAAAAAAAAAATTACTTGAGATACTTTGTAATCATCTGTAGCACAGTATTTGCTGACTTTTGGTATTTCTTATTAAGAAGTACAGCAATTGTATGAATTGTATATGTTATGAAATGAAGTACAGCAGCTGCTTAAGTGAAAATGCATTCTCAAACAATCATAAGGAGAGAATATTTGCTTAAGTACTACCATATCTAGCAACTAAGCTTTTAGAAATGGAATTATGGTGATCCACTTCCCTAACATCCCTCTTCAAAGCAGTCAATGAAGACTACTCCCAAAACTAAACACGGCACTGTATTTATGTATTTGCATTTATATCTCCACTTTTTAATCTGTTATAACCTTTAAAACGCATCAGTGCACAGGAACAAAGAATCAATGCTCCACAGAGATCACATTTTTAAAACTAGGGCTGGTAATTCAACTAGGATTACCAGAGATTCAACTAGGATTTTAAAACTAGGGCTGGTAATATGTAAAAACAGGTTGCTTACCTGTAACTGAGAATCTTCAAGTGGTCATCTGTGCATTCACACCTCTGGGATATGGTGCGCCTGCACCGACCCCGATGAGTATAATGGAAAGCAAAAGGAATTTTCACGCCCGCACCCCGGTAACGTGCCAGGTTCCACTGTGCATGACAAAGGGAGGGGCACGACAATCCCGTCAGTTCCTTCTGACCGCTGCCCTCAGTCTCCAAAGAAAGCAAGGAAGGACCGAAAGCAGAGGGGAAGGAGGGCGGGTGGTGTGAATGCACAGATGACTACTCGAAGATCCTCAGTTACAGGTAAAGCAACCTGTTTATCTTCTTCATGGCCTCTGTGCATCACACCTCTGGGAGACTGACAAGCTGAGGTCCTAAATCTGCGCTGCCTGCAACACCGCTCGTCCCACAATTGAATGCTGATGAAGATGAACATCGAGGGCATAATGCCTCACAAATGTGTGAGGCATGGCCCAAGTAGCTGTGTTGCAGTTATCTTCCAATGACGCACCTCGCAGGAAGGCTGTGGATGCTGCCACTGCCTGGGTAGAGTGTGCCCATAGCGGACCCGGGAGTGACTTCTTGGCTAGCAAATAGCACAATTTAATAGTGTCCACAATCCACTAGGATAGACGTTGAGGTGATAGCTTCTTCCCTTGAGAAGGTGGAGCATGAGAGACAAACAAGGCCGGAGATTTCCGAAAAGGCCATGTTCAATTTAGGTAAAAGAGTAAAGCTCTTTTGATATCCAACGAATGAAAACGGCATTCTTAAGAACATAAGAACATAAGAGATGCCAATGTTGGATCAGGCCAAAGGCCCATCCAGTCCAACACTCTGTATCACACAGTGACCAGAAATACCAGTGCCATCAGGAGGTCCACCAGTGGGGCCAGGACATTAGAAGCCATCCCACTGTTGACCCCCCCCAAGCACCAAGATGACAGAGCATCACTTGCCCCAGAGTCCCTATCTATATCTTGTGGCTAATAGCCACTGATGGACCTCTGCTCCATATGCTTATCTAATTCCCTTTTGAAGCCGTCCATGCTTGTAGCCACCACCACTTCCTGTTGCAGTGAATTCCAAGTGTTAATCACTCTTTGGGTGAAGAAGTACTTCCTTTTATCCGTTCTAACCCGACCGCTCAGCAATTTCATGGAGTGCCCACGAGTTCTTGTATTCTTTCCCCATTGAGGGAGACGGAAAGAACACTGGAAGAACAATGTCCGCTTGCAGGTGAAACTCAGAAACAACTTTTGGCAGGAAAGAAAAAACTGGAGCTAACGTGACCCCATTATGATGAAAACTCAAATAAGGTGGGTCACAGCGGAGTGCCGATAACTCGCCCATCCTCCTGGTGGAGGTGACCGCGACTAAAAAGGCTGTCTTTCATGACAAAAGCTGTAGACTACAAGTACCCATCGGTTCAAATGATTTGTCCATGAGCCTTGCAAGCACCATGGGTAGATCCCATGCTGGCGTGGATACACGTAATGGGGGGAAAAGGTGGGTCAGACCTTTAAGAAACTTCTTGGTCTGGGGGTTAGAGAAAATGGAGTGACCATCAATCATAGGGTGATTGGCTGAAATTGCAGCTAAATAGACCTTCAGCAAGGCACAACAGAGTCCTAGGTCTACATGAGACAATAAGAACCCAAAGACTGCCATCAGGTCAGGCGGCAATCCTAACGAGGTAAGGTAAGACAATAATTTCTTCCACCTCCCAGCGTACGAAACTTGGATATATGGCCTGCGACAGTTCAATAGGACGTGATCTATCCTGTCTCTGACCAATCGAAAAGGATCCTCCAGATCGTGAGCTTGAGACACTTCACATCGTGATGCAGAATCCAACCCTTCTCTGTGAGAAGGAGATCTGTGGCTGGAGAAAGGTGAACGAAAGAGCAGAGCAGAGAACCAATGTTGTTGGTTTTTCCTGCATCAACTTGACCAGTACCCTGGGTACTAGAGGATTCGGAGGGAAAAGGAACACATGGAGACGTGACCACGGGACTAGAAGACCATCCCCCAGAGATAGGGGATCTATCCCCACTCTGGAGCAGAACAGACGACATTTTCTATTGCTGTGTGTTGCAAACACATCCACCTCCGGATGGCTCCAAATGCAAAAGATTGGGTGAAGATAACTCCAATTGAGCTCCCACTCATGCTCCGCTGCCCCTCCTCTGCTCAAGAAGTCTGCTTGGATGTTCAGTGTTCCTGGCAGATGAGTGGCCCTTAGGAACGTGTTCCATGATTGACACTCGACTCATAGGTCTATGGCTAGGCGACATAGCCCCCAGGAGATCATACCTCCCTGTCTGTTGATATAACACAGGGCTGTGGTGTTGTCTGTCAGAACTGTAACCACTTGCTCAGTCACTAGGTGTCGGAAAGACCTGAGTGCGTACAGCACTGCCAGGAGTTCCAGGAAATTTATATGATTGTGTACTACATAGGACTCCCAATGAGGCCCCACACAAAGACCCTTGAGATGAGCGCCCCATCCCCAGAGGGACGCATCTATAGTCAGCGTGAGTGTTGACGTGGGTGGATGGAATGGCGCTCCTGCTAGAAGTTTCACAGGATCTGTCCACCAAAGCAGAGAGCCCAAAATGGATGGTGGGAAGACAAGGCGAAGGGATTGAGGATGACTCTGTGGGTGAAACCTGCGTATGAACCATAGCTGCAGAGGTCTCATGTTGTTGTTGTTGTTCAGTCGCACAGTCGAGTCCGAGTCTTCGCGACCCCATGGACAAGATCTCGCCAGGCCCTCCTGTTTTCTGCCGTCCTCTGAAATTTGCTCAATTTCATGTTCGTTGCATCGATGACACTGTCTAACCATCTCATCCTTTGCCGTCCCCGTCTTCTTTGACCTTCAATCTTTCCCAGCATCAGGGTCTTCTCCAGTGAGTGCTCCCTTCTCATTTGGTGGCCAAAGTATTTGAGCTTCAGTTTCATTATCTGGCCTTCCAGGGAACAGTCAGGGTTGATTTCTTTGAGGATTGACTGATTTGATCTTCTTGCAGTCCAAGGGACTCTCAAGAGTCTTCTCCAGCACCATAGTTCAAAAGAATCTATTCTTCGGCGCTCGGCCTTCCTTATAGTCCAACTCTCGCAGCCATACATGACTACTGGGAATACCATTGCTTTGACCATGCGGACTTTTGTTGGCAGGGTGATGTCTCTGCTTTTTATCATGCTGTTTAGGTTCGCCATCACTTTCCTCCCAAGGAGCAGGCGTCTTTTAATTTCATGGCTGCTGTCA